ATGCGTGTTTCGGAGACACAACATACATCTATATTGAAAGTTTCGAGAGTTTTAGCCAGGTCAGCTTGTTGGCCAATCTGACAGAGCGTGCGGACATTGAACGCGGCCAAGTGAAAAGGGAATCTTGGCTTTAAAAATACTATAATTTCTGATTCTTTAGCCTTGCTTGAGAAACGCTGAGTGATATTCGATGCGTCTCGTAAACAGGAGGTATTTGGGATTATTCGGGGTTGAGAAGAACTAGACAGATGGGAAAGATATTTCTCTGAATGGGTGCGTAAGACTTTAGATCACGGTATACTTCGCGGCAGCCCACGACGATAAAGAGGTTTTCCTTTGGGAACCCTAACCGAAGCCTTTGACTCAAAAGTCTGACCCGCAAGGCCGTAGGGTGTAGACACAACGCAGGAGCGTGATCGAAGCACCCGTGTAGGAGCTTCTGGCGACCTGTCACACATGTCTTTCGGGTTTCGGTTTAGTGTTTTGTTCGCTGGTGCGTTGATTATAGGTTCGCTGTTCGGGATCAGCCCTTAGCCTCATGCACCCAATGAGACAAGCGGAACGTGAACGGGACAGCACCTTCTTGACTGGGGCTTCGCAGCTTGGGCGGGTGGGTGGTAGCTGTCCAATGAAGTGTGAAAACATCTCCAACAGTCGAGACACCCCGCTCCTACATCCATCTAGCGGGGTTTTTTTGACCGGTAAACTTCCCCTCACCGTGTTTATTTGCTGAAGTGGCCTCCCTGGGGGCGGGTGTGGATAGAGGAAGGAAGCCAGGAGATGCCCAACCAGCTGGCCTTGTGAGACTGGTCTTCGTTTGGCCTCTACCTCTTGACCTTTCAAGCATGATTGGATCTGCGGCTTAGGAGCCATCCTGTATAGCTCGCAGGGTCATGGAGGCACGCACACACATGTCAAGGTGCAGTCTCGTCGTGAGGCCAGGTCTCCCAGCCATAGAGCAACGCAGTGCGTACCGTTGCGCAATACACACGCCCTTTCATTGAAACGGATATATCACGCCGGTGCCAGAGATGCCGCAGATTAGCAAACGCTAATCTAGCTTTCATCACGCGTTGAGAGATTTCCTCGCCCACACCTCCGCCAGCCGTTATGCAACTCCCAAGGTAAACAAAGCTTTCGACCACTTCGAGAGTGTCATTACCCAACGGAAGTGCAGGAATGGGTTCCTGCCGATCTTGAAACAACACTTTGCACTTTGAAGGTGCAAA